ACACTGCCCGCCGGCCCTGCTGCCCGGGACATGCCCAGCGCAAGCAGGAAGGGCTGCTGTCTGCTCCCCAGAAGAGCACCAGTCACTGCTGGCCCTGCCACCCCGCGGCCCCTCATCCTATGGGTGCTTCAGTGTTGGGGCTCCAGGCCTCCTCGCCTCCCACACGCCCCACGGGCCTCCCACACCCCACGGCCTCCTCGCCTGCCCTGCCCAGCTCTTGGCTGCCACTCAGGGTCTGCCTTTTTGTACAAACACTGTGGCTGTTGTCTCTGGCCACAGAAGAGTGAGTCCCCATGTTCACGGCCACATGAGGGCCCGTGTGGCCAGAAACCCTGCACGGTGCCGCAGCCAGCAGGCCCGTGGGCAGACACAGGTAGCCAGGTGTGCCCTGAGAAAGGCGATGGGGATGGGCAGCTCCCTGCGGGGCGGAGCTGCTGTATCCCCGAGGGAAGCAGCCAGGCCTGGCCTCCTGGGTGAGTGAGGCCCAGCTGGGGGGGCCCCCTACTCCTCTCCCTGACTGCCCGGGGCGGGGGCGGGGGCGGGGGATGTGTGCAGGCTCAGCAGGGCCTGTAGGCGACACCTTGGGCTCAGTGACCTGTCCAGGCCCGGAGAACAAGGGTGGGGCCTCTGTCCGGCCAGCACGGCTGGGTGAGGCCTGCCTCATCCCTGCTCTGGCTCTCACAGGTCGGGGCTGGAGGCCCCTTGGGCTAGCGGCTGGGGAACCTGCAGGATGAGCCAGGGTTACTGCGGCTGGGGGCTGGGGCCGGGCATGGGGGGGTGTGCAGCAACCCCCTGCAACGCCGGGCAGGAAGTGGGGCTGGTGTCCGCCCCAGGTGTCTGCCTGAGCGAGTTGCCCCCTCTGATGCCCAGCTCTCCTTCCTTTCTGGCAGCACCCGAGTCTTGGGATGCCCCGGGAAGGTTGACCCTGTGTGGTCAAGGTGGGCGAGCTCAGGGGAGAAGCATGCTGCCTGCGCTGCCCACAGGGGCCTGGGGTGCCCAGGTCTGTGATGGCCGGGGCACACCTGCCAGTGTCCTTCATCAGGTCGCATGCACTTGACTTGGCCTCCCAGTGGCAGATTCTGTGGGCCCCTCCCCTAGAGGCAGCCGCTGCCATGCCTTTGGCGGTGCCCGGTGGGCCGGCGGAAGCAGAGGTGAGGGCAGGAGGCTGCGAGCCTGAGTGTCCGGCTCCATCGCCGGCCTTCTGCGCCCCAGGCACCCTTCCCCTTTCAGCCTGGAGGCGGGGTCTGCCCTCCGCCCACCCAGAGGCCTGAGACTGATGTGCCAAGGGCCTCCCCCGCTGGTGTGGCCGTGGCCACAGCCTGGCCTGCCCGGGGACCTGGACAGCCACAAACATCCCGCCATTCAAAGCCCCTCAGCCTGGAGGGCCGCTGGCCAGGTCCTGGTCACATGCACTCACAGCCTAGACCAGCAAAGTCCGACTTTCCCGTTGGGCCATTTCCTGCCCGCGGGGGCGGGGTGGGGCACCTGGAGGTTTCCTCCAGCTGCCAGGGCGGCCGGGCGGGCAATGGGCCAGGGCCAGGCAGGTCTCCACCCTGCAGCTCTGCCTTCCCTGCGGACCCTGGGCTGGCCACGCCACGGGGGCTGTGGGGTGTGGCTCTGGCCCGGGAGATCCACAGCAGGAAAGGGAGCGCCTTCCTCCACCCCCTCTGGATGGTGGCCTTGGGGTGCTGAGGGCAGAGTCCTCCTGGGGTGCAAAGGAGACAGCCTGTTTCTTATCTGCCTGGCGAGGGGCCAGGGCTGGGAGCTCCTGGCCCAGGGTACAGGTGCCGTGGGCACACGTGTGGGCCAGAGGGCTCGAGGCAGTGAGCGACCAGGGGGCCTGCCCCTTCCCTTTGCTGTCCCTCCCCTGTGCCCCCTTACACACAGACATACACAGGCCCCCTACCCAGGGCAGTGGGAGGACCCAGGCATGCCCCCGCCCATGTGGCCCTCCCTTGTTGTTGGGGTCCGTGCAGTAGATGTGGGGGACATGAGGGGGTGAAGAGTGTTCCATTGCAGGCAGGGCCGCAAGGAATTTCCCGCTGTTTGGCAGGGCCCGCCCGGGGGATGTCTCTACAACCACCTGAATGCAGCTCCACCTTCTTTTGCATGGACATCCTGGCATTTACTACTGCGAGGTTAACCTTTTGCTCAGCCTGAGCTTGGGGGTCAATGTCTTGCAAATGGGGCCCTTTATCATTCCCACTGTCTTGGCTGTCCCCATTGAGCCCATGCTAATCAAGGGATCTCAAATGGGGCCCTTTATCATTCCCACTGTCTTGGCTGTCCCCATTGAGCCCATGCTAATCAAGGGATCTCAAATGGGGCCCTTTATCATTCCTACTGTCTTGGCTGTCCCCATTGAGCCCATGCTAATCAAGGGATCTCAAATGGGGCCCTTTATCATTCCTACTGTCTTGGCTGTCCCCATTGAGCCCATGCTAATCAAGGGATCTCAAATGGGGCCCTTTATCATTCCTACTGTCTTGGCTGTCCCCATTGAGCCCATGCTAATCAAGGGATCTCAAATGGGGCCCTTTATCATTCCTACTGTCTTGGCTGTCCCCATTGAGCCCATGCTAATCAAGGGATCTCAAATGGGGCCCTTTATCATTCCTACTGTCTTGGCTGTCCCCATTGAGCCCATGCTAATCAAGGGATCTAGATTTAGGCCTTCATTCTTTCCTCATTCTTTAGACTCCCCTTTTCTTTGTGGTACAAGATTGAGTTGTAGGATAAGAATCCTAGCAGGAACTTCTAGGTAATGTTAACAGGAACTTCTGTTGTTTCTAGGTAAAACTAATGGCAGAATTATCCTTAGAAACACCCACTTGGTCATGACGTAAAAAGTCTGAGCCAGAATTTGACTGATTTTGTATAAATAAAGCGGACAGCTTTTGTGCGTGGTCCATTATGATCATGGAGTCCTATTGGTCCGTCTCTTTCTTTCTGTTGCAGGATTTTCCGAGAGTTACCAATCGTGGAGAACTAGTGTCTCCGAAAAACAGGATAGAGTCCGCTTTGCTCACCGTCCGACAAGATGGATGTCTGGAGGCTGGCTGGAGATGAACTCAAGTCTTGCTGGTAGAATCCGAGTCACGGCACCAAAACTGTTGCAGGATTTTTGACTCCGAGTATGGCAGCAACCTCAAATTCTTGTCTCGCAGGAAAGAAGAATTTTCATGCGGACACAGTTTAGTTTTAACGCAAGATTTATTAGACAGGCTGAGAAGAGAGACTCCCGTCCTAGCGACGGGAAGGGGTTTTGAGATAGAAAGGACCCTTACCCCCTGCCATAGTGGCAGGAGGAAGAGTAAATAGAAGACCCTAGTGCTCTGCCCTAGTGGCAGGAGGACAAGAAGCAAAACCCGTATTAATGGTGGGGAATGCACCTTTCAAAGGTTTCCCTCAAAGATGTTTCTCCATGAACAAAGAAAATTCCTAGTTTCCATGGTACCTGGCCTTGGGACTAAAGGCCACAGAGGTGCCAGACATAGGACATTCCAGGCCTTAGGCAGATGTGTATTACTTCTTTCTGCTCTCCTTTCAATGATAAAGAGATCAGCCTGAGGCCCTCCCACAATGGCCAGAGGTAGTGGCCATACTTCAGGTGGGGAATTGATATGCTAATAGCAGCCCTGTCCCTTGGAAGAGACATGCTCTGGTGAATCCAAGACATGGTGGGGAAATTCTCTTTTACTCGGGGACCCAGAATACCCTAACTGCCTACCACCCACTCTAACTCCTCTCTCATTTCCTCTTTGCGCCTCATCCACGCACCCTTGGCGAGTTCCAAACTCAGCTGGAGCTGGACTCCGGCACCTTGTGCCATGATGGCAATTGCTGGCCAGTCAGGGGACCCAGGAGCCCCCAAACCCAGGTTGGCCCAGAGTGTACAGTGCGGAGTTTGGGGTGTGTGGGCTCCCCTGGTGTGCAGGTCATGCCCCTGCCCTTAGGCAGCCCTGTCCCCCTCCACCTCCCCAGCTTCTCTCTGTCTTGGGCTTCAGGTGGGTGGGCACAGGACAAGGGCCAGGCCTGCCAGACTCGGAGGAACTGCGTGTGCTCCCACCTAGCCCTCTGGGGTCCCTCTGCCCCTGGGCCTAGCCTGCCTGACATCCCACGCTTTCCCTGAGGCTGGCCCAGGCACCACCCACACTCTGCTGGCCTGGACAGCCCCCTGCTCACCCTCACTCCTGCCCAGGATGTCCTGTGGGGCGCAGGGTTCTGGCTCCAGCACCTCAGGAATGTCCCCCCTGCCCCCGGATCTGGTCAAGGGCTGGGAGTGCCAGGCAGGAGTCCAGGATCATGGCCCTCGGGGCACCGTGGCCAACAAGGGTTCCAGGCGTCGCTGGGGGCTGCCAGGATGGTGACAGTGCAGGTCCTTGCATCCTGGGCATCGGGTCACTCCAGGGGACCCTGCAGGGCAGGCTGGAGACATCTCCCAGGCCCACCCGGGGAAGCAGAGGGCACGCCCATCCTGTCCTCGCACGGGGCCCCTGGACCAGGACCCAGGCCCTCAGGCTGAGGCGGGGATGTGGGCCCTTCCAGCACACAGATGCGCCCACGGGTGCCAAGGATCCCGACTCAAGCTGGTGGGGCTCCCTGCTCTGGCCTACAGGGGCACAGGGCTGGTGGTCTGGCAGGGGGTGCAACCAGGCAGGGCCAAGCCGGACCAGAGGGAGCAGGACGGCAGGCGCCCGCCCGCCCCGGCTTCCGCGGCCTCGCCTCGAGACACGCGTGTCGCCCCTTCCCGGGAGATCCGACATCAGGGCGCCCCCCACCCGGCTCACCCCGCCCCGGCCGGGGCCGCGCGGCTCCTTTAAGGCGCTCGCACCCGCCGCCTCGGGGCCGCGCGTGCGAGCGCGCGCCCGCCGGCCGTGCGCGGTGACGCGGCGCGTGGGGTTTCCCGGGCTGCGGGCAGGGGCGCCGCGCCCATCCCGATGGCCGGAGGCGTCTGAGGGGCGGACGGCGGCGGGCGCGGGCGGGAGCCGGGCGGAGCGGCCGGAGCGAGCAGGCGCCGCGGAGCAGAGCGCCCGCAGCGCAGCCTGGAGCGGCGCGGAGGTGAGCGCGCCAGGACCCCGGTCGGGGCCCCCCGGAACGCGCCGCGGCCCCCCAGGGGCGCGCTCCCCGCCCCCACCGCGCCGGCACCCGGGCGCCCCGGGCACCCCGGGCACCCCGGGCCTCGGCGCCGCGGCCGGGCGCACTGGGCTCCGGCGCCCCGCGGGCCCAGCTCGGCGGACCGCAGGGGCGCGCCCGGGCGGCGGCTCGGAGCGCGGCCGCGAGAACAAAGGCGGGCGCGCCCCGGGGGCCGCGGGAGCCCCCCGTGCACCCAGGCCCGGCCCGGGGCGCGGCCCGCCCTCGCACCCCGCCGCCCGCCGCCCGAGGTCGGGGAGCCGGCCCCGCGCGGCCGAGGGGGGACCCCGCGGCGACCCCGGCCCGCGCGCGCGGCCAAGATGGCGACCCCGCGGCGCGGCCATTGTCGGCGGCCCGGGGGGCGCGCGCTGCCGTGGGCGGCGAGTGTGCGGGGCGCGCGTGGAGGGGAGCCCCCCGCGGCTGCGGAGCCGGGCCCCGGGTCCCGGGCGGCTGGGGTGCAGGCTGCGCGCTCTTCCGGGAGGTGCGGGGCTCGGGGCCCACCCGTGGCCGCACTGCGGGCGCTTCCGGTTCCCAGCGCTGTGGGTGCTGCAGGCTCTCCTTAGGGTGCGGGGCAGGCGGGGGCCCCGGCCGTGCTGGCCCCGCGTGCACAGCGCCCTGTCGGCAGCTCCCCCGGGGCCGGCCGCGGGGCCCGGCGTTCCAGCGGCTCTGGGCTTCTTTTCGAAGCGCGGTATTGGCACTTAGAATTTTTGATTGGATTGTTTCTCTCTGCTCAAGAGATTTGGCTCATGTCAGTCTGTAAATTGGATTAAATTCTCGCTGCCTGTCGGCTTTGGCTTTAGCGGGTGGATTGGTAATGGATCTTTTCCGTGTTCCCTGGCCTCACCATATGGCTGGGCCAGAGTCGGAGGCCGCCGTGCGGGCAGCTCCTGAGGCCGGGGTCGCTGTTGGAGGGTTTAGCTTCTGCCTTCAGGTTCGTGTTTGTTGATGGAGCTGGTCTCAGGATCCTGGGTGCCACAGTGAGGTGTTTGGTCAGCGTGGGATCGTCCTGGGTGCCACAGTGAGGTGCTTGGTCACCATGGAGCTGGTTGCAGGATCCTGGGTGCCACAGTGAGGTGTTTGGACAGCGTGGATGGTCCTGGGTGCCACAGTGAGGTGCTTGGTCACCATGGAGCTGGTTGCAGGATCCTGGGTGCCACAGTGAGGTGTTTGGTCAGCGTGGATGGTCCTGGGTACCACAGTTGGGTGTTTGGTCAGCGTGGGATAGTCCTGGGTGCCACAGTGAGGTGCTTGGTCACCATGGAGCTGGTTGCAGGATCCTGGGTGCCACAGTGAGGTGTTTGGTCAGCGTGGATGGTCCTGGGTACCACAGTTGGGTGTTTGGTCAGCGTGGGATAGTCCTGGGTGCCACAGTGAGGTGCTTGGTCACCATGGAGCTGGTTGCAGGATCCTGGGTGCCACAGTGAGGTGTTTGGTCAGCGTGGGATGGTCCTGGGTGCCACAGTGAGGTGCTTGGTTTAGTGAACATGAAGTGGCAGTGGTTCTTTCCCAGGTCTCCACTTCCAGGTCAGCTCCCGCCTGCTGACTTGATGATCTGGGAAGGCACCCTAGGGTGGGCTGCCAGTGGAGACCCCCATGGAGCTGCTGCACCTGCCTGGGGTGACTGCTGTGTGGGGAGTGAACCACTGGATGGAAGAGCTGCCCGGCTCTGTCTCTGCATTTCCAATCAACCAATCAGTGTTTTGAAGCTGATGAGTGAGGCGTGTGAGATAGCTGAAGCTTCCAGCCCTGTGGCCCCCGTGGCCCCCGTGGCCCCGTGAGCTGGTCCTGAGCCGCCCGGCGGGCCGGGTGCCCGTCCTGCTTCTGCACCTGTGCGTGCGGACTGGGTGTGCTCCAGGCTGCCCAGCACCGCCTGGGAAGGAGCCTTCCCTGGAAGCTGATGCGAGGCCAGGTGGAGCGAGCGCTTCTGCACAGCGTCGGCAGAGTGAACCTGTGTTGGCACATGAAAGAATATTACACTTACTCCAAGGAGCAAACTAGGGTGAATTCTGTAACCTGCTGGAATGTTGAAGGCATTAGTTTTTAAAAAGAATTCTTTTAAGGATTTACTGATTTTTATTGAAAAAAACAGAGGGGCAGATCTCTGCTGGCTCACTGGCTGCCCTGGAGCCGAGAGCTGCTGGGTCTCCCGTGTGGGTGCAGAGGCCCAAGCACGTGGGCTGTCCCCTGCTGCTCCCCCGTGGGAACTCGTGCAGGGGTGGCCCAGTGCTGGCCCAGGGCCGGAGCGAGAGAGAGGTTGGCTCCCTCCCCAGGTGACTGCAGCAGCCAGGGCCCACCACCTGGGCTGGTCCCCAGCACTCTCTGGAGCCGATTAGCACCAGGACTATGTGATGTGAGAGCTGACCGTGACACCGTCCCTGCGTGACCAGCTTGCATGGGGCACAGCCAGGAAAGCTTAAACAGCTCTGGAAGTGACTTGTTGGCGAGGTAGCGAGGCGTCTGGAAGAAGAGAGGGCTGTTCTGGGCCACTCGCAGTGCCTGCCGTGGGCAGGAGCTGGAAGGCCAGGCTGGCCACTGTGGGTGAGTGGCATCTGTGGCCCCTGCCTCGCGGGCTGTCCGCTGGCAGCTGGCCCTGGGTAGGGTGGCAGCTGTGGCCCCTGCCTCGCGGGCCGTCCACTGGGAACTGCCCTGGGTGGGGTGGCAGCTGTGGCCCCTGCCTCGTGGGCCGTCCACTGGCATCTGTGGCCCCTGCCTCGCGGGCCGTCCACTGGCAGCTGGCCCTCCTTCATGAGACACTGCTGTGACAAGCAGCACCCCTGCTCATGCCACCAAGCCTGCCCTGGCACAGAAATTTTAAAATAGTTCCTAAATTTTAGAAAAATAAATTTTTTTTTAAGGTTTATTATTTTAACAGGAAAGGTAGATTTTACAGAGAGAGAGGGGAAGATCTTCCATCCACTGGTTCACTCCCCAAGTGGTTGCAACGGCCGGAGCTGAGCTGTTCAGGAGCCAGGAGCCTCTTCTAGGTCTCCCAGGCGGGTGCCGCGCTGCAAGGCTTTGGGCCATCCTCTGCTGCTTTCCCAGAAATAGGAATTTAAAAAAATAAATTTATTGGGCCAGGCGTGATGGCTTAGCGGCTAAAGTCCTTGCCTTGGACATGCCGGGACCTCATATAGGCAAAGATTCTAATCCTGGGTGATCCACGTTCCATCCAGCTCCCTGCTTGTGGCCTGGGAAAGCAGTGGAGGACGGCCCAAAGCCTTGGGACCCTGCACCTGCGTGGGAGACCCTGAAGAGGCTCCTGGCTCCTGGCTTCAGATCGACTCAGCTCCGAACCTTGCACTCACCTGGGGAATGAATAGTTGGATGGAGGGTCTTCCTCTCTGTCTCTCCTCCTCTCTGTGTATCTGACTTTCCAATAAAAAATTTACATCTTTTAAAAAAAAATCTTGATTTAGTTATTTCAAAGGCAGAGGTAACGGATTGGCTGACATTGGTGGGGCTGGGCCGTGCTGAAGCTGCTTCTGGTCCCCGAGTGCTGGGCCCTGGGCTTCGGCGCTTTGCTCTGCTTCCCACGCCCCATGGGCAGAGCTGGGCAACTGGCCCGGGAAGCGGCCAGTGCCCGTGTGGGATGCTGCAGCCGGTCCCCACGCTTTGAGAGACACTCGGGCTGGGCTGGAGGTCGGCTCCTGGACAGCGTGGGCTCTGTGGGCTCTGGGGTGGACGGGCTCCCAGGGCCTGCAGGAGTGTCTGTGGGTAGTTTGAGGACACTGCTGAGCAGGTGGCTTTGAGGAGGCAGCGGCCTTGGCCTGGCCGGGACGACGCCCCTCGGGCATCTTTGTTCCTTTGTGTCCCTGGAAGTTTGTGTTTTTTCAGAGAAATTCCTTTCTTTTCCTGGCACTGGCGCGGTGAGGCCTTTCCTGATTTTTGTGTCTTTGGTTTGCTAACTAGCACAGAGAGGGGAGACACCTCCGGGGGGTGCTGTGTCTCCATTGTTCCCTCAGTATGCTTGGCTGTCAGTTATGGACCCCACTGGGGGCCTCGAGCCAGGTGCAGGCCCTGGGCTGCCCCTGCTGTCAAAGCCTGGCGGCGTGAGCGCCAGCAGGACAGTCTGTCCTGGAGTTTGAAATGCCCAGGCTGGCGAGCAGGGCAGGGTGATGGGAGGGGACGGTCTGTCACCCCTTCAGCTGCCGTGCCTTGGGTGCTGGGTGCTGTTCACGGGAGCCCAGCTCAGCGGAGGACGCCATGGGGCCAGTCTGGGAGGCTGTGGTGGGGAGAGGGGTACGGGGCCGGGGGTCAGGTGACTGCGGCCTTCTTCCCTGGGCTCTGTTGAAGTGGTTTTGGGGTGCACACAGCGATTCTCACGTGCTCTGTTCCCCTCTGCTACCAGGTGTGTCCCCTTGGGCGCTGGCTCCGCTGTGCCATCTCTCTCCGCCTTCTTGCTCTGTCTGCCCAGCCGAGGTGGGCACCATGGGCAGGGCGCTGCAGCTGTCAGAGGGTTCCCATGGGGTGCATCCTGGGGCGTGCCTCCATGTGTGGGACTGTGGGCCCCTCGAGCCCAGCGCTGGCGAGGCCTGCTGCCCACTGCCAGGCCGGCTTCCTGCTGTGCGCCCCGGGGGACTCCGATCGCCCAGCTGAGGGGCTCACGCGCACCCAGCCCTGGCTGTGCAGGCATTTGTGGAGGGGCCGAGTGGATGGAAGAATCTCTTTCAAGATGTCATGGCCTTTCTGGTAGATGAAAATAAGAAATATTTATTTGTTTGTTTCTATTGGAAAGTCAGACATACAGAGAGGAATATCTTCCATCCACTGATTCACTCCCCAGGTGGCTGCAGCAGCCAGAAGCCTCTTCCGGGTCTCCCATGCGGGTGCAGGGTCCCAAGGCTTTGAGCCGTCCTCCACTGCTTTCCCAGGGCACAGGCAGGGAGCTGGATGGGAAGCGGGATTAGAACCGGCACCCACGTGAGATC